GTGACTACCTTTGGCTCAGGTCATACATAATCTCAGGGTCCTGGGATCGAGCCCCATGTCAGGCTCCCTGCTCAGAAGTGAGTCTGTTTCTCCATCTTCCTCTGGCCCTCTGCCTGCTTGCACTTGCTTTCTTTCTCAAATAAATAAAATCTTTTAAAAAATACCTTCAAAAAGAACAAATAATCCAATCGAGAAATGGGCAGAGGACATGAACAGACATTTCTGCAAAGAAGACATCCAGATGGCCAACAGACACATAAAAAGTGTTCCACATCACTCAGAGAAATACAAATCAAAACCACAATGAGATACCACCTCATACCAGTCAGAATGGCTAAAATTAACAAGTCAGGAAATGACAGATGCTGGTGAGGATGCGGAGAAAGGGGAACCCTCCTACACTATTGGTAGGAATGCAAGCTGGTGCAGCCACTGTGGAAAACAGCATGGATGTTCCTCAAAAAGTTGAAAACAGAGCTACCCTACAACCCAGCAATCACACTACTAGGTATTTACCCTAAAGATACAAATGTAGTGATCTGAAGGGGAACCTCCTCCCCAATGTCTATAGCAGCAATGTCCACAATAGCCAAACTATGGGAAGAACCTAGATGTCCATCAGCAGATGAATGGATAAAGAAGATGTGGGGTGTGTGTGTGTGTGTGTGTATGTATGTATGTATGTATATATATATATATATATATATATATATATATATATATATATAGTGCAATACTATGCAGCCATCAAAAGAAATGAAATCTTGCCATTTGCAATGACATGGGTGGAACTAGAGGGTATTATGCTGAGTGAAATAAGTCAATCGGAGAAAGATAACTATCATATGATCTCCCTGATATGAGGAAGTCGAGAAGCAACATGGGGGGTTTGGAGGGTAGGAAAAGAATAAATGAAACAAGATGGGATCCGGAGGGAGACAAACCGTAAGAGACTCTTAATGTCACAAAACAAACTGAGGGTTGCCGGGGGGAGTGGGGTAGGGAGAGGGTGGTGGGGTTATGGACATTGGGGAGGGTATTTGCTATGGTGAGTGCTGTGAAGTGTATAAGCCTGATGATTCACAGACCTGTACCCCTGGAGCAAATAATACATTATATGTTAATAAAAATAATTTTTAAAAATGCCTTTAAAAAAGAAAAAGAAATGAGAAATTCTGTGTACATTTGTCACAGCCTCTTTACTTAGAATTCCAAGTGAATCTAGTTGTTAGATAAAGCTCTACTACCTAAAACAAAAAAAAGAGGTCAGAATATACCTGAAGATGATAAGTAATAGTAATATAATCAATAAAAATTGTTGAGGATTTATCAAATACTACAAATATATTGAGAGCTTTATAAGCATTATTTAATTATCTAAAGAACACTATAAAGCATGTTCTTTTACCAACCCTACTTTATAAAAGAAGAAAACTGAGAGGATGCAAGGGTATGAACATGGTCTTGTGGCTCATAACTAGCAACTGGCAGAGTCAGGCTTCAAACATGATTTATTTTACGCCACAACCTATAGCATTTCCTATTAAATTATATAGCCCAATGGAGAAGTACGATCAGGCTTAGACAGAAGGGAATGTAAAAAAGGAGGTTCTGAAAAAAGAAAGCTCATTCAACAGTTGGCAGCTTAAATCACAAGGGGGCAAGATAAAAACTCTAAGTATTTATTATTTACAGGATTCTCACCCTTCTAATGAAATTGGATCCTTAAAAGGGTTTATGGTTTGCTCAAATATAAGTCATTTTTCATAAAATGGCCATTCTAAATAGTGAAGATATAGTGACATGTATAGGAAATTCACTGTAGGAGAAGCTAAGACAACAACATTGTTCCAAGAAGCAAGAACTTGTATATATAGAGAGACTATGTTGAAGGAGAAAGAGATCAATCAGCCAAGGGCAGAAAAGAAAATTGAGCTGAACAGAAATGTCTAATAGGCAATGTTAATAAATTTCTTAATAATAACATGTGGACCTCTGTCTCTGCCCATCTATGAAACATGTAAATCTGATACTACTAGTCAATATTTTTGTAGTTGGAATTTATTTTTTTATATATGACAACAAATAACTGAGTTTTTCCTCAAAAGGGAAGGGAGTGAGATCAAAGATGGTTCAATGATATCTCCTGCTAAATTCAAATTAAAACATAATATGACAAATTAAGATGGGAGATCAAAGACATCACAGCACACAAGCGAACTGGCATAAAGAGGAAAAATTTGTCAAATACTTCTACACAAAGAGCTACTAAATTTCACAAATGACTTAAATAAATGAAAAGATATACCATTTTCATGGATTAAATGACTTAACGCAGTAAAATTTTCAATTCTCTTGAAGGAAATCTACCCCAAACCATTCTTATAGTTTTATTTTTTTAATAGAAATTCTATTGCATAAGAATTCAACAAACTCTATATTTAAAAATATGGCTTAAAATTTTATGAATTGCTGAATCAATTTAAAAAATAGAATAAGATGTTGAAAATTTCCCTACCAGATATTAGAACAGATATGCCCACAAATCCATAACAACAAAAATAATATGGTCATCTACAGCAGAAATAGACAATTTAAAAACCACAAAACATAGAAATAGATACAAGGAATATATGGAAATTTGAAATATGAATAATTAAGGTGATAATATCAATTGATGAGAAAATCTAGGTTGTAGATGATGTTGGAAAAACAGGTTTAACATACAGAGAAAAATAAAACTAAACTCCTACATTGCATCACATGAAAACAGAACTCCAAGTGAATTTAATATCTAAATGAGCAAGTAAAAGTAAGAAGCCAACAGCATAAAGTATAGGAAAATATCTCTATGATGCATTTATTAGTTTCCTATTCCTGCTGTAATGAATAACTACAAATTTAATGATTTAAACAATAGGTATTTATATTCTTATGGCTCTATGGCTCAGTTGTCCAACAGGTCTTACCTTATGTTGAGGTTTTGGCAGGGTTGCATACCTTTCTGGAAACTCTACAGAAGAATCTTTTTTTTTTTTTTCGCCTTTCCCAGAGGCAACCCAGCTTCCTTGACTTGTGGCACCTGTCCTCTATTTTCAAAGCCAGCAATGCAGCATCTTCCAAACCCTGCTTTTGTTTTCACATCTCTTTCTCACTAACAAATTATAGTCAAGAAAATCTCTCCACTTTAAAGGATTCACATGAATAGATTACACCCATCTGGGTAAATCAGAATAATCTCCCCCATTTCAAGATCCTAAGTCTTAATTATATATGCAAAGTCTTTTCCATCACATGGTAACATATTCCCATGATCCAGGGATTAGGACATGGGCATCTTTGGAGGGTCATCATTTTACCTGTCATAATGACCTAGGAGAATACTTTATAAATTAGGCAGACAAAAAAAACTTTAAAAAGCACAAATCATAAGGTTCAAATTCAATGGATTTGACTACATGAATATTAAAGATTTCTGTTCAGTTAAGAATATCATAAACAAAGTTAGCAGACAAATGACAGACTGGGGGTAAATATTTGCAAAGTCAAAATCTGGCAAAAGGCTAGTATTTATAGTATACAAGGGATCCTACCTTATTGATAATTACTTTAATTGTAAGTGGACTAAACACTCCAAAAAAAAAAAATTCAGAGATTGGCAGAATGAATTTTTCTGTTAGACAGATCATAGATAGATGATAGATGATAGATAGATAGATAGATAATAGAACTTTACCATGAGCCAGACATTGCTAAGAACAAAATGATGAGTCCTCTATCTCATACATAACAATTCTTTTTACATGCATTAAGTTATTTTGTACTAATATAAATGAAACAAAGTTTTTTTTTTTTTTTTTCAGAAAGATGAAAAGCAATCCACAAATTTTTATTTTTTTCAAGCCTTATTGTCCCTAGAATTTTTCTTAAGCTCACCTAGGATCTGAACATCACGGAAGCTTTTATGGTCTCGTGTGGCCTACACATAGGTACTTATCTGTACCCAGTTAGACACAAAATAACCTATCAGGTTAAAGGGGAATGGATTTCACCATTTTAAATGTGAAATATGTTTGAGTTGGATTAATTTCATAAACTGTGATAGCCAACAGAGATAATTCAAATAGTTACATGAGTGGTTCTGAAGTCTCTCTTGTATGGCAATAGTACATAGAAATTTTATATAAATGTAGATTAGCCAGCCCCATCCTGAGAGATTCCAATTCAGAAATTTTGAGTCTTTACTGGGATTCTGCATTTTTCACAGGCTCCAAAGATTAATATGAGTTGACACATGACCATGTTTAAAATATTCTGTTTGGTTATCAACTTTTTGTCCTTGTTGTTAGAACAACTCAGCAAAATAAAATCCCGGTTTATTGTTGGACGACATTGTTTCATACATACATCAAACAGGCCATAAATAAATAAACAAACAGCAACTTCATAGACAAAGAAACCCTTTATCTTTGGCCTTTTTAACCATCTCATACAAACCAACTACTTATAGTACAGTTAAGTACATACACAAAAAATGTTACTGGAATGCTCGGGATAAGATTTTTTGTTGTTGTTGTTTTTGCTTTTTTTAACAAGGTTTTTTTCCTCCTTTGAGATTATAATGAACACGGTCACACCACAAGTAAAGTCAGAAGTAGGACAGAGAACACTTCAAAGGATGGTTTGGTCATCCGAGATCATTAAAAATGGCTGACCTCTTACAATATGTACAAAAATGTAAAATATAAATAAAAAATACAAATTTTCCTTTTTAAAGTAATTTTAAGAAAAAAAAGCAGGGGCCTTGGAAGTTTTGGTTCTTTTTTTCCTCCCCTGTTGCAAATTTACATTGTGGTTTTTGTTGGGTGGAGGAGAGCGTGAGTCATCTGCGGGTGGCGCTGCCAGCACTGGGTAGAAGGGCGGGACTCTCTACTTGAAGGTGGCCACTTTTAGATTCTGAGACGGGAAGTGAAAGGTGAATATGTCACGGTGGCCCATTTTTTTGTTAGGTTTAACTTTTCCTTTTTTGCTGTCTAGTCATCCTCATCAGTCTTCTGCTTCTTGGAGTCCACATCGTCCTCATCATCATCTTCAGCTGCCTCTGCCTCCTCATCTTCATCTCCATCCTCTTCCTCATCATCACCTTCTTCCTCCTCTTCATCTACCTCATTGTCCGCCTCCTTCTCCCCATTTTCCTCATTAGCGTTCCCATTAGCAGGTGTGTCTCTTCCATTCTCTGCCTCCTCCACAGCTTCCTTCTTCTCCTTTAAGTCCTTGGTGGTGATCTCGGAGCTGGTGTCCACGGCTGCTTCTGACATGATGGGGCACACGGTGATCCAATGCAGCGGATTAGAAAGAAAGGAAGAGTTGGAGGATTCTGGCGAGAAAGCTGCCCGAGTCCGCGGTGGCAGAGGAGGCACGTGGCGGAGGTGGTTGCAGCAAACAGGAGGCTGAACACAAGATCTGTGCAAAGATGGCTTTTCAGAGCAGCCAGTGGAGCTAGTTATCAGCTTTTGCATTAAAATTGGTTCAGTGTCAGTATAAATTTTATTAATATTATTAACAATGATGGTTTGTTTATTCATATATACAAATTATTGTTTCTCATTTAATGAATTAGTAAGGTTTCAGTTTACCTCTTAAGTTTTCAGAAGGCAGTAACTTTTTTTGGTGACTTTCCTAAGCATTTTTCTATTTTGTTTTCTATAGGCAAGCCTCCCACATACACTATCTCCATGGGACAAAGGTGTTACTTAATATCAGAAAACATTAACTTGAAAACCAAAAGCAACATTTTGTAGTGGACAGTTGTTGCAAATCTTGATCCTTATAAATTTATTTTTTCTTTGAATTTATAATAAAAGATAATGATATCTTAGGTATACTTGTGGGAACATCATAAATTTATTTTTATTATTTTTGTTTTTTAACCAAAATTAATTATATAATTGTACATTCACATTCATTTTTAAGAAATTACACAGCAAGATCCTGAATATGCTTTATCCAGTTTCCCGTAATGTTAATATCTTTAAAAATCATAGAACACATTGTAATCAGGAATTTGACACTGGTATAATCCACTGATCTCAAGATTTCCCTAATTTTACTTGTATCCATCTGAGTCTGTGTCATTGTATTTTTTATTTTTATTTTTTATTTCTCTTCCAAGTTTTTCCTTAAGATCCAGTGAGTTAACACACAGTGTATTAGTTTCAGTTGTGGGACTTAGCGATTCATCACTTCCATAAAACACCCACTGCTCATCACAAGTGCCCTCCTGATGGGTATTACATCACCCATTTAACCCACCTCGCTGCCCACCTCCCCTCCAGTAACCTTCAGTTTGTTTTCTATAGTTCAGAGCTGTTTTATGGTTTCTCTCTCTCTTTCCACCTCTATGTTCATCTGCTTTATTTCTTAAATTCCACATATGTGTGAAATCATGTAGGATTTGTCTTTCTCTCATTGACTTATTTTGCTTAGAATAATACCCTCTAGCTCTATCCATGTCCTTTCAAATGGCAAGATTTAATTCTTTTTTATGGCTGAGTAATATTCCTGTGTGTGTGTGTGTGTGTGTGTGTGTGTGTACACTTCTTTATCCATTCATCAGTTGATGGACATTTGAGTTCTTTCCATAATTTGGCTATTGCTGCTAAATGCTGCTATCAACAGCAGGGTACCTGTTTCCCTTTGAATCAGTACGTTTTTATCCTTTGGGTAAATATCTGGTTGTGCAATTGCTGGGTCATAGGGTGGCTCTATTTTTAACTTTTTGAGGAACCACCACACTGTTCTCCAGAGTGGGGCAGAATGAATTTTAGAAGGTCCAACTGCAACTCTCTCTAACAGACATGAAAGCAAAAGGGTGCAAAAAGTTACATCATAAAAATAATAACCAAAGACAGCTGGAGTGGCTTTATTAATATAAAAAAAATCAATTTTAAAGCAAAAGTTGTACTAGAAGCAAAGGACATGGTTTAATGATAAAGTGGTCTATCCTTCAAGATGATAAGGTACTCATAGGCATAAATGTACCTAACAACAGAGCCCCAAAACCACATGAAGCAAAACTGACAAAACTGAAATAAGAAATAGACAATTTTTTAAAAAGATTTCATTGATTTATTTGACAGAGATCATAAGTAGGCAAAGAGGCAGGCAGAGAGAGAGAGAGAGAGAGAGGAGGAAGCAGGCTCCCCGATGAGCAGAGATGCGGGGCACGATCCTAGGACCCTGGGATCATGACCTGAGCCAAAGGCAGAGGCTTTAACCCACTGAGCCACCCAGGTGCCCCGGGAATAGACAATTTGACAATAAAAGTTAGAGAATTCAATATCTATCATGCAATATCAGATAGAACAACCAGGAAGAAGACCAACAAGGAAACAGATAACTTGAAAACACTATCAACCAATAGACCCCCCCCAAAAAAAAAATCCATAGAACACTTATTATTAGCAGGTTACATACACTTCTAAGCGCATATGGAACAGTTTACAAAATTGATCATAGTAGGCTAAAAAACAAAGTTGTTAGTAAATTTAAAGGATTGAAAGTATACAAAGTATGTTCTAACCACAATGGAATTAAATTAGAAATCACTAAAAGAAGGAAATTTTAGGAATTCATAAATATGTGAAATTAATACACTTGTAAATAAAAATATGGATGAGAACAGAAATCACAAGGGAAATTAGAAAATACAATAAGGAGAACACATGTACCAAAGACAACAAATCAATATTTAGGGGATGCAGCTAAAACAGTACCTAAAGCAAAATTTATAGCTATAAGTACCTATATTAAAAAATAAAAGAATACTGAGGCTCCTGGGTAGCTCAGTTGGTTAAGCATCCGACTTAGCTCAGGTCATAATCTCAGTGACCTGGTATTAAGCTCTGCTCCACACTCAGTGGGGAGTCTGCTTGTCTTTCTGCCCCTTTCCCCCATATTGTGCTCTCTCAGTCTCTCAAATAAATAAATAAAATAATTTAAAAATATAAAAAAAAAAAGAGAATACAAATCAATAGCTTAACTATCCACCTTAAAAAAAAAAAAAAAAACTAAAACAAAACAGCAAACTAAACCCAAAGCAAGCAGAAGAAAGGAAATAATAAAGTCTAGAGTAGAAACAGAATAGAAAAGTACTAGAAAATAATTAACAAAATCAAGTTGGTGCTTGGAGAAAATAAAAGCATTCACAAATCTTTAATTGAACTGGACAAGATAAAAACAGAGATGATTTAAATTACTAAAATTAGGAAAGAAAAGGGTGCATCACTAACCCTGACAGAAATTAAAATGATTATAAGAGAATACTAGGAACAATTGAGTGCTAACAAATTAGACACCCTAGATGAAATGGACAAATTTCTGTAAAGATACAAACTGCCAAATCTGACCCAAAGAGAAACAGAAAATATGGATAGACCTATAAGAAGGTAATAAATTCATAACCAAAAACTTCCTTCAAAGTAGAGCATACAGATGGCTTCAATGGCAAATATCACCAAACGTTTAAAGAAAAAATACCAATTCTTCAGAAACTCTTCTAAAATATATAAATGTAGAAACACTTCCCAATTTATTCTATGAAGATAGTGTTACCTGTTGGGTCCATGGTCAAAGGAGTGAGACTGATACAAAGCGAAGGTCAAGCAAAGCTTTATTTCACTCCAAGCATCGAGAATCAAACTGACCCGCCAGGGCCATCTCTTGCAAAGAGGCGACTTCTCTCTGCCTTACAGACTAGCTTTTAAGGGCAAAGGCCATGTGGTTGGGCCTGGCCATGCACCAGTGGCCTATGAGATTGTAACACAGAGAAAGCTGCACAGTCCTGCTAGGTCACACGTAAGTGACCAATTGAATTACAATTTACCCTATAGTAGATATTTGAACTAGCCTATCACCTTGGTCAGAATTGGCACCCAAAAGGCTCCCAAAGGGCAGGGCCCATACTCCTTGGTAGATAGGGAGAGAGTATGCGGCCCCACTGATTGGATGTCTCCACCTGGCCTGACCCACCCTTGTATTTGGGCTTTGTTACCTGGGACTGGTTTCTGGGCTTGTTTTAAGTAAGTCCCCTGGTGGAAGGGGGGGGGGTAGGGACAGTTTAAGTTTTACTGTATAAACAACAAGGTCATTATTTAACCAGATGTAATCTCTCTGGCTAAATAGGCCCTTACATTACCCTGGTACTAAAACCACAAAAAACATCACAAGAAAACTAGACCAATAATCCTTATGAATGAATACAATACAGAAGTCCTCTACAAAATGCTAGCAAACAAAATCCAGAAACATATAAAAAAGATGATACACCAGGACCAACTTGGACTTATCCAAAGAATGCAAAGTTCATTTAACATACAATAATAAAGTATATGATTTATCATCTTAAGAGAATAAAGGGGGAAAAAACATATGATCATAGCAAAAGATACAGAAAAACCGTGAAAAAATCCAGCATCTTTTCATGATAAAACACTCAACAAATCAGAAACAGGAGGAAACTTTGACAAAGCCCATCTATGAAACACCCATAATCAATATCAGATTTAATGGTGAATGACTGAATGTTTTCCCCTTAAGATCACAAATAGGAAGAGGCTGTCTCTTCTTCACACTTCTACTTAACACTATACTGTAGGCTCTAGAAAGGGAAATTGGACAATAAAAAGAAATACAATGTATCCAGATTGGAAAAGAAATAAACTGTATTTGCAGATGACATGATCTTGTACATAAACAATCCTAAAGACTACCCACATAGCTATTTGACCTAATAAATAGTGAATTCAAGGTTACAGGATACATGATAAATATCCAAAAATTAATTGTGTTTTTATACAGTAGCAATGAACACTTCAAAAATGAAGAAAATGGTTCATTGATGAAAGCATCAAAAGGAATAAAATTCTTAGAAATAAATCTAACAAAATGCAAGTTCTGTACCTGGAAACTACAAATCATTGTTGAAAGAAACTGAAGACTTAAATAAGTGAGTCAATATGCCATGTTTGTAGGTTTGAAGACTTATTACTCTTAAGATAGCAATACTCTTCAAATAATTAAAACATCTTGACAAAGAACAATAAAAATGGAAGACTCCGCATTTTGAAAAACTTAATAGAAAGCCATAGTAATCAAGATGGTGTGATACTGACACAAGGAGAGGTACACAGTTCAATGGTAGAGAATTGAGAATCCAGAAATCAACCCTCATATTTATGGTCAATTGATTTTTGACAAGGCTGCCAAGACAACTCAATGGGGAAAGAATAGTCTTTTCAACAAATGGTACTGAGACAAGAGGAATCTACATGCAAAAGAATGAAGTTGGATCTTTATCTCACAACATACACAAAAATTGACTACAAATAGATCACAGACCTAAATATAACATGTAAAACTATAAAATTCTTAAAGAAAACATAATAAATCTTTCTGACCTTTTAAATTAAAAGATTGTAAAAAAAATCTTGG